CAGATTAGGCCAACTATGCCACATAGCCTTACAGATTAAAAACATATTCTTGAATTCAGATCACAAACAAACTGGGAACTGTTATTGTTGAATGTTCTGTGCTATGCTCACTTTAATTAACTATTATGTTTTTTCCACTTATATTCCATTCACTGTTCCAAGTACCTTATTGTCCATAGTTCCCTCATATTTTAAGGTACAGTTAAAAAATCAAGTAGGGGAAGAGGAATCTAAGACAGCCTTCCCTATTATATAAATGTTTTGGACAATCACTTATGTTGCAGCCAGCTTAAGTTACCATGTCAACTGCTCAAGTGAATCTTGTATACCAGATGTCCAAAAGGTTTTTGAAACAATAACTGGCAGAATCAAATACCACCATCTATCAGACTACATCAGTTTGCAAGAATAGATAATCCTAACTGATTATCAATTGGTAGTTTTGCAACTTAACATCTTATGTTACTTTTTGTGTATGTGTGTGCCTTAGAATCAGTTTTGAAAATTAAATGCCTACCTGGACTAATCCCTGCAGTTTTCTTGGCAAGGTTTTTCAGAAGTGGTTTGCCATTTCCTTCTTCCTAGGGCTGAGAGAAAGTGACTGGCCCAAGGTTAGCCAGCTGGCTCTGTGTTTAAGGTGGGACTAGAACTCATGGTCTCCCAGTTTCTAGCATGATGCCTTAACCACTACACCAAACTAGCTCTACTATGTTACATGTACTTTAATTTAAATCAAAACTGAAATGTTATTGGTTATGAAGTAAATTGCCTCCTCTCCTAGATTTTCTTTCCCTTCTTCTGCTTCCTTCCCCTTTCTTTTTCCATCTCTCTTCACACTCTACTCCTTTTCTAATGCTTTCTCAATGGGTCATATTTCAAATTCTGAAAGTATTAACATATTGGCTGTGTTGTTCTGTGATGCAATTCATTGGCTATGATGTACTACATTGGCTGGACTCACTCAACACTCCAAACTAGTCTAAAATGGGATTTTGTTTATGGTTTAGCCTGGCTAGGAATTCACCCATCATATTACTATACTGAATGAATGAGTAAATCAGATTTGTTATAGTCATTGACTAGTGATGCTTTACCATATTGGGTCAATCAGGCTGTTACACTAAGCAATGCATAATTTGGTTTACCTGTTTTGTCATAATACGTAATGTGAACACAGAACTATCATTTATTATCCTGGGTTTAGCTAGCTGTAATATTGTGATGGACTGGAATGGAGGAAGGGGGGTGAAAACGGTGCTCTCGTCTCCAGAGGAGGACATCTCAGATGGGGGGGTGAAGGAGGAGGGGGCCCCCCACACCCACACA